GGCTGACGTTTCGGGCCTGAAGAAGGGTCTAGGCCCGAAACGTCAGCCTTCCTGCTCCTCTGATGCTGCTTGGCCTGCTGTGTTCATCCAGCTCTACACCTTGTTATGTCCATTAAGAGAGAGGTCTGCGATTAAGGGAACGTAGATTTAAAATAATTGATAGGAAGATTAAAGGGAAGATGAGAAAAAGCTTTTTCACCCAGGGCATGACAGGGACCTGGAACTCACCTCCTAAGAAAGTACTTGAGGCAGAAACCCTCATCCTATTTAAAAGATGTCTGTACCTGCACCTCAAATGCTGTAAGCTGCTGGGCTTAAACACCAAGTGCCAGGGAGCGGGATCAGGCAGCTCGGCCAAAGCAGACATGATGAGCTAAACGGCCTCTTTCGGTGCTGTACGCTTTCTATGATTCGCTTACATAATCGTCCCATCACTTGCCGCTTTGCTTTGTGTGGGATCCTGCTGTGCGCAAATGAGCTGTCACGTTTCTTACATCCCAACAAAAGACTACACGACAAAAACTAACCGATCAACCCGAAAGCACTTGGGGACATCATGGGAATGTAGAAGGTGCTACGTAAATGCCATTTCTTCCTTACTGTTGCCTCCCGAAGTGTAGTCACTGCTGTCACATAGATATTTGATGTGAATGGGTTAGCACCTATTTAGAGTAATGGACGGGCAAGCGGTATCAAAGGGGTCAGCAAGACTTATTTCTAAGGGTAGAAGTTTTTTTTAAAATTTTACCTGGAAGTTTCCCACGACGATGAGGCCTGCAGCACAGATCCAGCAAGTGACCAGCGCTGCTGTGTTCAGTAAGGAGTTCTGGTGTCTCTCCATCACCTGAGCGTAACGTAACAAACCCACCAACATCACTGAAACAAAAAGACACGTGTCACTTCAGCTGCCCCGTCGTTTATCTGGAACATCTCACATGATGAAGACAAGGTGGAATGAACCCAAAAACAAAAACCTCTTTTCTGTCAAAGTGGATCACGGAGGGATCCATCCAGCCAATGCTCCTTGTTTGTGCCACCTACCCTTTACTCATCTGACAGTTGTTTACCATGAAGTAAAACAAACATTGTGTAGCTTTCCTCAAGAACTCCTCCAAACATCCAAATTAGGAGCAGCCGCTTGAGCCATTCTATAAGATCACAGATGTTTTAATGAGGGCCTCAACTCCACTATCCCGGCTGCCCCTATACTCTTTGACTCCCCATCAACCAAGAATTTATTAACTCAGCCTTAAAAGTATTCAGTGACTCAAACTCCAGCTGTTCTCTGGGGAAGAGCTCCACAGAAGAAAGATCCTGAGTGGACTTGACTGGATAGATGTGGAAAGGATGTTTCCTCTTGTGAGAGTATCTAGAACTAAAGTTTAAAAATAAGAGGTCACCCATTTAAGACAGGCATTGAGAATCTTTGGAATTTCCTCTCTCAAATGGCAGCAGATGCAGAATCGTTAAATATTTTTTAAGGCCGATGGAGATAGATTCTTGATGACCAAGAAAGATGAAAGATTATCGGGAATATGCAGGAATGTAGAGATAAGGTTAAAATCAGATCAGCCATGATCTTATTGAATGACAGAACAGGCTTGAAGGGTTGAGTAGCCTGCGGTTGTTCCTCGTTCAGATCTTTGTACCTTCCTAAGCTCCAAGAAAAAAAAATTAACGTTTCAAGTCTGGTATGACTCTGCTTCAGAAATGAAGAACTAGTTCAAAAGAACAGTCATATCAAACTCAAGACATCAACCCTCTTTCTCTCTCTACTGATGTTGCCAGATCTGCTGAGTTTCTTGAGCATTTTCTGTTTTTATTTCAGATTTCCAGCATTCACAGTATTTTGTTTTTATTTGAGAGACGAATTCTCAGTCTGTTGAACCATATCATGGGCACTCCGTCTGTCAGCAACAAGTCCTTAAGTCTCCTTGAGATTCCTTGCCTTTCGACTCTGCAACTCAGTAGGGAGCACTCTCACCTGATTCAAAATGTTAAGGGGCTCAAATCCCAAACCAGGACTTGAGCACAAAAATCAAAACTGATGCAGCCAAGTGAGGGAGTTCTGCACTGTCAGAGGCGTTTTCATTTTCAGATGAGATTAAATCTGCACTTTCAGGAGGACGAAGGGAATCAAAGGCACTCTTTCAAACAGAGGTGGGGTTCTCCACAAAGTTCTGGTCATTACCATATTGCTGTCTGTGCGAGCGTGCTGTGAGCACATGGGCTACTGTGTTTCCTACATTGCAAAAGTGACTATACTTCAAATGTATTTCATTGGCGTTAAAGAGCTTTCAGAGACCTCCAGTGATTGAGAAAGGCGCTGTAAGAAACTGGAAAGCTTTGAATTTCTACAATCATTATTTATTGCTCGACAGATATCCATTGTGGCATTTGAACAGGAAATTACTGCGATGGGTTTTCCGGACCATATGCAGCAAATGTGGTGGCTCTTGTGGGTGGGGTGCAGTGGGAGCACTGTAGGAGGTGGGGAGCAGTTGGAACAGGAGGAAAGTACAATGAAAGCAACGTGATCAATTTAAATGGATGGACAGACAGCTGGGTTTTCTCAACAATATAATGCCTTCTGTTTAAATTTTCAAAAGTTCGCTACACCCAGGTAATCAGGGGCAAGAACAGGTACATTCTCACCACTAAATTAAGTCACGGTTGGCTCCTTTATAGCGACTCGAAAATGTTGGGAAATGTTCCACGACTATTCACTGAAGGAACTGGAAAGTGAAGGAGACAATGGCGTAGTGGGATTATCACTAGCCTCTTAATCCAGAGACGGTGGTAGCGTTCTGGGGGCCCAGATTTGTATCCTGCCATGGTAGATGGTGGAATGAGAAATCAGTAACATTCTGGATTTAAGATTCTAACAATGACCGTGAAACCATTGTGAACTGGCAGAAAAATCCATCTGGTTCACTAATGCCCTTTCGGAAAGGAAACCTGTTGTCCTTACCTGGTCTGGCCTACATGTGACTCCAGACCCACAGCAATGTGGTTGACTCTTAACTGCCCTCTGGGTAATTAGGGATGGGCAATAAATGCTGGCCTAGTCAGCGACACCCTCATCCCATGAATGAATTTTTAAAAATGTCACAGTACCAAACAGGAGATAAGGCAGACGAAACAAATGCTTTGTTAAATCAGAATCTAGAATTCGTAGAGCACCTGTCGCAACCTCAGGATTGCTCAAAGTATCTCACAGACAAATAAGCTCTGTCTTAAGTGCAGTCATTATTGAGACATAGCAATGCTCATGAGAGAATTATACCTATCTAGACAATTAACGTCATTCACCCTTGGAATCCTAATACCAGCAAAAACTTACTCATCAGCAATTTGTACAGCAAAAGCCAATTCCATTATTCCCTCTAGCTGGTTTGTGAGCTGTGACCTATTGCTTCAGAAATTGTCCCGACTGCTCCTAAATGGCCTCTATTCTCTTAATGGTGTCTTCTAAAATGGAGCTGCATCGATGACTCATAGATCATCCAATTAACAAATTCTGTACTTACTGGAAGTGGATTACCAACGTTTGACAAAACCTTCCCGGTTCTGTCAGATACGGAGATCCTGTTGGGGGACCGTCAAACATGTACAGCAAAATCTGAGGAATGTAAGAGATTAAAGATAGCTCTAAGCCCACCACCTAGTAGCTCAGTGCTAAAAATGTGCCTTCAGTCCACCTCTACACTCTTGCCCACATTCCTCCTGGGTTCTCTCCTCTCTCTGAGTTCCAGCCTATCTCCACTCCATTTTATTCATTTCCTCTTCATCACTTCCGTTATAATATTCGCAAAAGTGATTTTCCTTTCAGAAAGAACATCATTAGCTGTAAAGATTATGAGCAGAACTATATATTTACTTGTTCTTTTTTTCATTTCCTGTTCTCTGTAATATTCTAAAGCAATAACTTTTTCTCTTGAATTAATTCATGGACTATGGGCTTCCCTAGTAAAGCCAATAACTTTTGTCAATCTCTACTTAAGAAGGTGGTAATGAGCCACCTTCTTGACTACAACTGAATGGCTTGCTAGGCCGTTTCAGAAGACATTTAGGAGTCCACTACATGTAGGTCAGACCAGATAAGGACAGCAAATTTCCTCTCCTAAAGAAAACTAAGTGTACCAGATGGGTTTTTATGACAATCCAGTAGTCTTTTTGGTCTAGAAACCGCAAATAGCCCTCAAGTGGGAACCTGGCTACGGTTATATAATGAAAAGATTACTTCTACTGAATTTCATTCTATTCCTCTGTCCCTACAGCCTCTTTGTTTTGTGAAAGTAGAAAATGACTTGACATTTTGTGAGGTGTATCCACTACAACTCCCAAGATCTCTTTGTTGATTGCCTAGATCAATATTGTTCCACTTATCTTGCACTTCCTCTGAAATTCCACATTCCTAAATGCATGATACATACGTTTAGATTCCCTACAGTGTGGAAGCAGGCTACTCAGCCCATTCAGTTCACACCGACTCTCCAAAGAGCATCCTGCCCAGACCCACCCCATCCCCTGCAACCTTACATTTCCCATGGCTGATCCACCTAACCTGCACACCCCGAACACTGTGGGCAATTTAGCACAGCCAAACAACCTAGTCTGCACATCTTTGGACTATGGGAGAAAACCGGAGGAAACCCACGCAGACACGGGGAGAATGTGCAAACTCCACACAGACAGTTGCCTGAGGGTGGAATCAAACCCGGGTCCCTGGCACTGTGAGGCAGCAGTGCTAACCACTGAGCCACCGTGCTGCCCTTTCTGACTTCATTAAACTCCCTTAACCCTGAGTACAAGGAAATATTTGCTCAAAAAGTTTTACCTGATCAACATTTCCCAAATATTATAACACCTGGACGAGGGCAACCTTATTATCCAAAGTCTCAAAGCCTTTGAAATGTGGATAGACAGAATGTTTAGCATCAAGAACTGAAAATTGAACCATTTTGTCTGAAAAGATGCAATAAAATGCACTGCTTGAAGGTAGAGTCAATGGGAAGAAGAGGTGAGGTAGACAGAGTTTCCTGGACAAGCAACATCAAGGAATGGGCGAACAGGAGGCAGTGAGGACAGTGGAAGTGGTTGGTGTAATATTCCATTCAACCCTCGATGAGAGGAAGGAGTCTGGAAAAAGACCTCCCATCAAACAATTGTCTCACTGTCCTTGTTCAACTAGGCCAATTGGGTATTGTCACTGCTTCTCATATTAATCATGAGATAGGTACATAGCAATAGATTTCTAGACATTAAAGATATCACGGGATATTAGAATAGTACAGGAAAATGGTATTGAGGTAGAAAATCAGACATTATCTAGATGGATAACACAGGTCAGATGGGCCAAATGGCCTATTGTTTCTGTTTCCTATATTTCTATGAGTTTAAAAAAAAATATGCTTTTCTCTTTTTTGGTTCCTCCAATGCCACAACCCATGTGCTGCTGGGTAAATGTGTTGGTGGGGGTTTGGAAGTGAGACAAAATTTGGTGGGGGAAAACCAACAGGGGTGCATGATCTGTTTAGTCTGCTCAGACCTCCTGACCTCTGATGACTGTTGCTCTGCGTGATTGCAACTGACATCTTTTGGCAGCATCTTCCTCAGTATCTGTCCCAAGATTGTACTGAAAAGAGTTTCTGGAGACTCCGTTCTTGGCCGCAAGACCTTACTCAACAAAAGATGAAGAGTTCACTGGATTGAGCCTCAAGTTCAATGCCTTGGGCTTTTGCAACTCATGACCTTTCAAGAAATAAAATTAGGGGCAGGCCATTGCCTAGTGCTGTTTTTGCTAGACTATTAATTCAGAAACCCAGCTAATGATCTGAGGACCCGGGATCGAATCCCACCATGGCAGATGGTGG